ACGTGTTCCGCTTAGATCATAAGTTTTTCAAGATCCGAAGATGTCAGCGCCACAATATATACAATAAATAAGCGAATCTTTCTCTTGAATTATAAAATCAAATGTTCCTGTAATATTTATAATTTACCTTCTGTTTGTATTAGGCATATAAGGCCTGAGCTAAAAAAATAGGATGTTTAGTTCGTCACTAAAAATATTGGTGGGGACGCCCATGGTCCGAAATGCGCCAATATCGAAACGAAGCGAGATCTTTGGGTTATAAACATATATTTTATGTTTCCTGAAAATTCAATAAAACAAAAACTAGAGTGTCCACAAACTAAAACCATGATTTTTCATACAACCAGGGGCCATAATCCAAGACGTTACGGTCCCATGCATGTCAAAATCAAAAAATTGTGACCTGTAGAGTGTCCACAAACAAAATGTAAACATATACAAGGAAGGGCGGACAAGAGCGACGAAAATATACGTCCAGATGAAAATGGGGATGGGCATCAACTTTAAATATCGATAGGATTCCAATGCTTCACCCTACATTTGAAACAAATTCGTTAACAACTGTAGCCTAGCGCCACATAAGGTTTTCAGCAAAGGGGGGTAACTCTAGATATCGGAAGGATACGTCTTTTCCTGACTACCATCCATCCACACTTAAATTTGAAAAAGATTCTTTAAACACCTTTGCCTCGTTCGCATTAACAAGCTAATTGTTGATAGGGGCGGCATAAATTAAATGCGGACGTATACAAATGAAGATAAACATGTTAGAGAATTGAAATTGCGAAAAAATGTGGTCTTACTTAGCAAGAGACCGATTTTTGTTTACTCAACAATTAAAAAGCTAGTTTCATACTCATTAGTTTCATTTCCTCTGTCAAATAAAAAGAGTAGCCAATTATTTCCACAGCAAATAACGCAGCATACAGGATGTCATACGTAAAAGAGATTATAAATATTTGTGTTATAATCATTATTGGTATGGTTGTTTTGTAAGGACAACCAAATATACCGCACACGTGTGGTGAATGTTCTGATATATTATTTGCTAACATAATAATCATTTTCCACTAATGTTCTCATATTGACTTTGTTACCTACATTTATACAACACATATATAGAGGATATTTGTCGTTTTAGAGTGAATAACATATTTTATTTCATCGAGAAGCAAGAAAACTTATATTTTCACGAATGCGTAGCATGAGTGAAAATATAAACGTTTTCTTGCTTAGAGATGAAATAAAATATGTTATTCACGACAAAACGACAAATGTTCTATTTATTTTATGATTTTACAATCAATTTAAGGTAAAAACAACATGGACTACTGCTAGCCAGTGGAATAACACTTTTATTTCACTGATAAAACGCGGTATTCCACTACTGATCATAAAATAAAACCAATTATAAAGAGCATCAGGTGGCATACATTTTAAACAAAACAATGAAATAAATCCCCAAATAAATAGATGACACATATTAATGAATTGCTCATTTATCTTTTTGAAAAGTATCGAGCAGTCAAACTATCTATACATAGTCTAAGTAGAAAATGTTCACGGTTGAACTCAGTCAAGGTTTTGAAGTACATGTACCTGGTACTGGTAGTGAAACTATACACTAAGTGTCATCACTCTCCATCAGTTATCTTGTCCGAAATCATCGACCAATGAAATTGCGTAGCTCTGCTTAGCTTTAGCGGGAAATGTTGATCATTTAACTCAGTCAAGACATTCGCCTAATGAACATCAAGTTTAAATATAGATAGGGTTCGTTCTCCAATTACTTTAATACTTTACAAAATTTAAAAAGAATCCGTCAAAAAAAATGGAGCCTCTATCGCGTTCACACGTCGATCTGTTAAACCTGTATACGATCCACTTGATCCGGTGTCATAGCCTTTTGCATCATTGTGTTGCAGTATTGGGGAATCGCCCCAACCTACACCTCACTGTCGGCACAATAAATCATCAAAACCATAGGTTAATAATGTACTGCACTGAATGTACGTCTCCAGACTAAACAGTCTGAATTACATCAATTCAAGTAATATGTCCGTTTTGCATCATAATGTTGTAGTTTTGGGTACTATGTAGTGGTTTAAGGGTAGTATTGGGTAAATCGTTCCGTCGTAGTTTTGTACCATAAGTATTATTAAAAGAAATGAAATGGGGCTTACCGTTCTACTGCCCCCACTGGGTTAATGAAGACGGACATGCGCCATGCAGTGTGCCAAGAGGGAGATTTTGTCCGTAAAGTGGCGCTATGGCCTACTCTTATATCGAAATCTAACTTCCAAAGAGTTGTGTTACGTGCACGCCAAGGTATACATGTGACTTCGATTTTTCATCCCATCTTTATTAACGTCGCTACGCTGTCTCTTGCCAAGCCCTCGGACTGGCATCGAAAACGGGACCTCTAGGTTAACAAGCCAACGTCTTAATTACTGAGCCACCGTGCTTCCAGCTTATTAAGAATATTTATTCAGAGGATGAAAACTAGACGGTTACCTGATGACAGGACTCCAGTATAAACAAGCTAAACATTGGGTGAAGATACGCTCTGACATATTTACAGCTAACACTTGCCCAAATAACAATCTGAATTGCTGAGTGTAGAGGCCTTTGTTCGCGAAAGTGCACCAAAAGTCCCTATTGCATTCAAATGAAGGGGGCGGGGTGTCTGACGCGTATGCGTTAGATTATGGTCTGGCATATAGTCAAGTGGTGTGGTCTTGATTCCCAGTTTGAACGTTCCATGAAGATGGATCACCTGTCCAACCTCGTGTTTTTTCCGGGTTCCTCCCATGCACTCTAAGGCTCTGCGTGCATGCAAACATGACCCAGTTGATGTTGAGTGGCCGATATTATTTTTTTATTATTATCTTAGCCCAAAAACAATTTATCAGCCATCTTTTATTACAGATATCTCAAGTACTCTTCTGTCCAGGTTGGTGCAGAAAAGTCAGATGTTAACACAAAGTAAATTTTGATAACTCTCATTCGCGATTCAATATTTCAAAAAGGAGTTTCTCTCTTGGACGAACTCTCACGTCAGACAAAATTGTCTGCAGAAGAGACAAGGGTGCATATAGTGTTGTTATTGAACTTAAGATATTCCTTTGTGTGCGCAATGTAGGTCTATTTGACTTTTTGCAAGTTGTAGCGCGCTCTATGAGCGGCCGGATTTCCGGAATTGCTTTTAAAACTAGAGAAAACAAACGTTAAAGTTTCTGATCGTGATTTGAGCGATACAGGAATACCTTGCAAACTACATAATCAATCTGATTAAAACACAGATCCAATTTCGTTTCGTTTTTATAGTTCAAAATTTCGATTTTACTTGTCTTTACTACACTTGCATGTAGTGTAGGCCATCGAAAGTATAAAAAATAAATGAAATATAGAGCTACATTTTAATTAGATTGACTCCATAATAAAAGTTAAATCTGTAATAAGAATATCAGTTCTAAAATGGTTCGATTCCGATCTGTATTTACAAAGAGATGGTGATCAATTGAAATTCCACTGATCTATGCAGCTCTCTATGTAACAAGCCCCGCCTCCATCTGTTTTAATCCGATTAATGCGGGTGATTATCTATCGTTGATATTTTGATTTTGCTTTCTTGATAAACGTTAGATAATCAATTTGAGTACATGTTAGAAAAATGCAAACACGCACAATTACATTAAAAAAGACTTTAGCTCTATCTAGACTTGTAAAACAAACCATTAGGAAGCATGGCCTTTCGAAAGCCCTAAAAATATCCTAGTTGCCTATTTTCTCTTCTAACGAACGACTAGTGGCTTGTAAACATGTTTTATTAACATAGACGAATAACCTGCCATCGCGGGCTGATTTTATTACTTATATGGGCGAATCTAGAGGTTAATGTAAGGATCACTAAGTTGTCAATAAATTTCGCAATCAAGAAAAATACTTTAGAGAGATATGTAAGGGTCTGTTTATAGTTTCATTTTCTATTGTTATTTGTTCTGTCTGTATTGTTGCGGGCCGGGGTTTGTGTGTGTGTGTGTGTGTGGGGGGGGGTAAATATTTTCTAAAAATTATGAACAGTCAAACTGAAAGGTATTAAAGAGTTTTGAAGGAAACATTTTGATCTAGCATTCATACCCGTTTCCCTTTTGTGAGTTAAAATGACTATTTGGAGCAGTTTTTAACCGGATAAACCTGGTGTTTTCTTAATTTGGTAGACTAGTTTGATGCTTATAATAAAGATATTCGAGGTTGACTTGATTCGCCGCTGTTTTTGTTGTTTGTTCTACATTACAAGTGCCTTACTGTTATCATAGATATATAAATATACAATAAGGGATTTCTGTTATAAGGGCTACCCAGTGTTAGAGATTATTTTTTTCTAAAGAACTACTTCAGCTCATCATGCTTCGCTCACTTTAGGTCGTATAATAAATATAAGCATTATTGCTCAGTCGAACTATTATTAACTTTTCCTGAATATTATTACTGCAACGTCTGTTGATCTAAGTGCTTTACACCGATTATTTACAAATTGCATGAAGCTGAATTCACACCACACGACCTTTTGCCTTAAGCATAGTAGACAGATGGCAGTCCAGTGTGGGTTTTAATGAATATCTGGCTGAAAAGCCGATATTTGGGAAAAAAAATATTCTCGTTGATGATTTCATGAACATTAAATAATTATAGTAAATATAACTGTATGTCAGTCTCAGAAAGAGCAAGAAAACTAAAAACTATGCCACCTTCCATTTATTTGCGTTAAATGCATACTGTAAAAGCCGTGTAAGTCATTCGCTGAGTTTGGTGCGAATGGGCCTTTCTGAGCTGATAACGGCCATTCATAAATCCTCTTTATGTTATCCTTAACGACTGTATCACAAAGGAAATATACAATAGCTGTAGACTTCTACTGACCAGTCACTTACATTTCCTTTCTATTTTATTCATAAACAAGGGTTGGGACTTGGACAAGAATATCAAGTCTTAGGGCGAGAACTATATTGTTGGTCAGTACATGAAGAGCAGACGATATATGGCATAGTTCTAAATTACAGCTGGAAATTAATAAGATTAGACGAATGCTGAGAAGTTGTGGTGCGACAGAAACTGTGATTTATAACAGTAAGGTTCATGGTAAGGTATAGTCTTTTAAAAAATTACTTTCATTCATATGTTCGGGTAAGCGGGGTATATATATAACTCCAGTTTACTTGTATGCAAACGTTCGACTAAATGTCAGAAATGTCTGTGCAAACGTTCAACTAACTGTCAGAAATGTCTATGCAAACTTTCAGTTAATTATCAGAAATGTCTATGCAAACGACACATGGGATTCTCACTCTTCTACTTCTCATGTATTTCAGAAGGTTAAGTTACCATACTTCGTACTGGATAGTGTAATGTTATAGTCCACATGGTAAGTTAATTGGGGGATTTGGTACCTAGAATGAAAACTTTACCACAACCCTTACTACTGGATGTAGTAGAGATAGGGGTTTAGTTTACCTAGAAGGGCCAGACCACGTTTACCCTCTATTTCAAAGGAATAAACATACCAAAATAATTATACGGGCATCACCCGCACCCCATTGTGTTTGCAACATAATCAAAAGTTGATTGCCACGGGCCATTTTCACAATATTCCTATATTATATCGTAGTCTAACCAATATTGGCATCACGATCCACTACCCCACTGCTGTTACAGAATATGATTTGTATAAGTGAAATAATCAATACTTGATTGCCACGGGCCATCTACACATACGTGTAACCAATGTCGCAAGACTTTGTTATGGGAATCACTACCCCCACCCCTTTACACCATTAGTGTTGCAGAATATAGTCCCTGTACATAAAATAATTAATATCTTTTTTGATTGCCAATATTTGATTCTTATCAATGTCGCAATACCTTGATATTGGTAAGTTAATGGTCTACTAGAGATAAATTCATTGTTCATACAGTATATAAAACTCTGGACAATTCAACATATAAACATGTCATATTAATAAAGAGTATTTACTTAGTATACACTAGGTAACGACACACGTTTATATGAATATAATCTTAATACAAATAAACATGTTATTTAACAGAGTTGGCTACCAAGAGATAGCATACAAATGGATAACGGGTAAACCGGATAGCCGTAATAACATACAAAGAAATAATATTTTAATATGAAAAAAAATATCTTATTTTGATTAAAGTAACAAAGTTGTTATTAATTCATAAAACAAGTCATGTTCAGTTTTTTCATTGAACATGATACTTAATCATAAAATCTTTTTCGCATTTTAAATTTTCATTGAAATAAAACTAGAATTATTTGTTTACCATTATGTTCTAGGTTTAATTGTATACGTCATCCTGGTATGAACGATACAAGGGATCTTAGCGAATTTGAACTCGACCGTTGTATAACATGGAACGACATATATAATGAATACGCTCTTTTAACAATACTGATTACAGGGGACGGGATTTTAGAGCGTTATAAAATTTAGTTAATGCAGTTACTAGGTTTAGTCTATGTAGTCGAAATGAAGGTAAACCTTTTATATGTTCGACAATCCGCCTATCGTTAATCTTATCTTCACCGAAGATTACGTGAATAAAACAAATAGTTACCATGTTGTTTGAACCGATCGGGTAAATGAGATTAATAGAGTTTAACAATAAGGTGAATCATATATAAATCTTAATGCAATAATTGAACATCCAACAAGGTCAGCTCACTTCCATTGTTGCTTCATTTTCGTTAATCATTTTAGTCTAATAATAAAATTGTAAAATCTGCACCCGTGATTCGAGCCAAAAGATTCCAAAATCTATCATTTGAGCAAAGAGTCCACGAGCTTATCTTAAAACGAATCGGCCCAGTCTCCTGAACTTCAGGAACCACGCCCACCTCGCTCCAATTAGCTATAATTAAATAGTGATCGGTGCCATGCAAGGTATGTTTATTATTATTAGAGTACGTTACCTGGGATGTGATGTTTATACAAATACAAAGGGAGTCATTTACAAGATTTGATTCAAACGGAATTCATCTTGTCAGTGTTCGATCCCTGCGTTGGCCGAGAAAGTTCATCCGGAATTTTCCGGCGTAGTCCCCCCTTGTCAGTGATGCAGGGCAGAGGGCCTGGCGAGGGACCGCGTGTAGTCAATCGAATGGAACAAAAACCCGAGGTCCCGTGTACGCCAAAGATCCTTTGGCAAATGGAATTCGAAAAAGGGTATAGCCATAGTGCCGCTGTCCAGTCAAAATTTCCCTCATAACACCCTGTATTGCGTTTGTCTATCTTCATAAGCCCAGTCGGAGCAAAACAGTAGGACCTTGAACCCCATTTCATATCATTTCATTCTATCAATGGTGCAGAACGGTAGACCTGGGTCCATATTCAAAGGATAGCATAAGTCTAAGATAGTCTCTTAAATGTTAAGTATCAAATTTTCCCTTAAAATTAAGCTGCCTTAACGTTTACGTGTTAGTCTTTTAGTGGTATCCAAAGGTAAGTTTAAGTAATACGCTTAGTTAAGTGAAAAATTTAGTATTTTTACTTAACTTTAAGAATATCTTTGAATACGGACTCTGTAAAAGGTAATCTTTATATTATTGAAATAAAATTTAATTGTGTGCTTATTGAAAAATAATCTTATCTTTCTCTTACGAGAGTAACAATGAAAGTGTGTTTGATTATTCAGGTGACCTTAAACCCTAAGGTTACGGGTATAAATATATCTCAGTAAGCTGAACTCGTTATATGCATAATCCTTTTAATATGGTTCCAGATTATCCAATAATTGTATGATTATATCTGATCAATGGGTATTAATCTAACCATTTAGATTTAACCAAATATTAAGCAGATTATTATATTTAATAATTCATAATCTACGTTCATTATACGAAATAATAAACACCACACAAAGGAGATGGTTACGAGTACGCGTAATGTTTGTGACAAATGAAATTCGCTCACGATTAATGTTAGGGTGTCTGCGTTTAAAGAAACTACACCGACCTGAAAATCATACTGATATCGGTAGGCCATTATCTTAACCTTTCTGTTACCTCTACTGATATCAAGACGTTTATCTATACAGCAATCTATGTTATACTTTGGATACATTATTATTCGGGGGTTTATTTCTAATTTTAAAAAGTTCTTGTATTGTGTTGTATCATTTCCATTTGGATATTTTCAGTAAAAAGATGAGTTTCTACTATTACAAAATTCCCCAGGAGAAAAAGGAAGCTAAAGTGTACGGAAACAAAAAGGTGGAACAAAACGAATTGAATCAGATAACAGAGCGAGTGACACGACCAACATACAGTAGCAGCTTGATTCGTGAACAGAAACGTCTTTATAATTATATCAATCTGAGAGAAAATGCCCGACAACGACCACCAACATCCTGTCGAAAACGTCCAGCTACTGCTTCTGTATTGGATAATTCGAAACATTCTCGTCGATTCACTGATAGAGAGTTTACCCGAATGATTAGACGTTTGAGAAAACCTACCGTTAGTTCTCGTGTAAGCCGAGTGGATTATGACACTGATACAACAGAGCCGACCCGAATGAATAGTGCTTCCACGCGTCCAAGAACTGCCGAAGAACGAACAAAATCTTTAAGTGATTTGTGTCGCCCGACTACAGCCAGCAGTTGCAAATCCTTCGATCGCGACAAGTACACGGGTGACAATTATAATAATCATGACTACGAATATGTTTATACATCGTGTGCTCCGCCGGAAGAAATCGACTTTTTGATCGACAGAATGAGTAAAACGACCATTGCGAGATCCCGCGGAAAAGTTAATTGTCCCCGTTCACCTTTTGTCTCTGCGGAATCCGAATTTGAATTTCAAAGAAAATTACCGTTAGTGAGCGGTCTTCCAAAAAGTAGAACTATAGAAGAAATTGTAGGAAGATTATACAAGCCATCTAGGAGTGGCTACCGTTCCCAGTCAACCCCTGTATCAACTGGCATCTGAACAGGCCAATACAGTTTAGCAAGTTCTTTACATTCGACATGGAAATTATATTATATAAATACCAAAGACATCGGCGAAATGTGATTGTACGTACGATGATAGGACTAATCACATTCCTCGAAATATTCCGTAATTAGATCATGTTCGATATGTAGGCTTTCGTTCATTCGTATGGATGATGTCGCAGACAAAATATATGTAGACGCAGATTCACATATTATATACAGTTCACCGATGAGGCATCAGATTAATGTTCACATATTATTTATATACAGTTCACCCATGGGGCATCTATCTAACTTTAATGTACTTATGATTCTTACTAAGCACCATCTTATTGGTGAAATCTGAATATTTGATTAAAACTTCGATACCTAAGTTTAAGACTCAATCTGATTAAAACACGGATCTTATTTCGTTTCGTTTTTTATAGTTCAAAATTTCGTTTTATTTGTCTTTACTACACTAGGATCTGGAAGAGTTGTTATATTACCGGCGTTCTGGTTGAAGTGAGGGATTAGCCAATGAAACGGTCTGTCACGGCGAGTTCTTGGCGTGCCATGCACGGAACTCTGGGTAAACCACTAGAAACGACAACGCTGATTGATTAATCAATATCTGGCGTCATAGGGTCAAAAGCCGCTCGTACGACCCCCGACGCGACCTTCCATTTAGATCTTCATGTAGTGTAGGCCATCGAAAGTATAAAAAACGAAACGAAATATAGATCTGTATTTTAATCAGGTAGAAGGACGTCTCTAGTTTAAGACTATTGAGCAATACGATGAAAGACAAGCCATTGTAGTCCAGCGTTTAGTGAAATAAAAATATATTACAAAGATGTTAACTATGAAGTATATAGTGTGACGATTTTGCAAAAGGCGACCATTGTTCTATAGCGCCGTTGTTAATATAGGTATAGCGATAACCTATCATAATTCAAAGACATCACCTGGCAGCTGAATTGGTGATTATCGAATGAAATTAGTGCACCGTCACAATATGAAAATTACTTTTAAGACTAGATTTTTTTAGCTACTTGAAGGTGATATACTTCATAAAATAAGGAACTACAGCACTTTCATTTATTGTGACCAGAGAAGTCTTTCATAAATCATTTTCGAAAGTTTCTATGCATTTCATTTTCAGTTGAAACTATTAAATGTTTTCTGGACACATATAACAATAAAACAATTTTAATCGCCTTATGTTCTATAACTGTGGGGTATCTGTATACGAGAAATGAAATAGGGTTCGACACCCTACTTTTCTGCACTAACCGGGCTAATGAAGACGGGCATGCGACATGCAATGTATTAGGAGGGACATTTTGCCCGGACATCGACGCTGCTCCTTGCAAGGTTCTCCGTCCTGCCAACGGGAAATGACGCTGAAAAATACCTAGGACCTCCTGTTGAGTGAGCCAACGCCAAACTCGCTGAGTCACCATGGCACCCTCGTATCACAAAAATAGATGTTATAATATACAGTGCTTCGAGACGATCCTTGCTTTCGTGATGTCGAATAAAGCCCATATTAAATTTCCACACGGGGGGGGGGGGGTATTCAGATCCATAGTGGCGGGGTTGTCGTGTACGACGCGATGTCTCCTTATTCCTTCCTGGACAAATAAAATAAAATAGGGGTTTGACGCCCTGCTGTTCTGCACCGACCGGGCTATTGAAAATGACCATATGCCATATAGTGTGTTATAGCCTATTCTTATTTCGAATTCTGGCGGTCAATGTGTGTCAAAGGTGCTTTTAAGTGCAAGCCAATGCGTAGACGGGATCTTTATTTTTGTACAATCCGCACAACTAAATGCTGTTCCTTACACGGTCCTTTTTACTGTGCCACTGACAAGGGGAAACCACACCCCGGAATATCTCGAGTAACTTTCTCGACCAATACCGGAATGGAACCCGGGACCGACGGTCCTTCTTCCAGATCAGCTGATTAGACTTCACAGTTAATATAGCTAGCAATTCTCAAACAATTTTCTTTAATTTTAGAGCAAAACGTCAACAAAAATTGCCATGCAAAAGAGTGGGAAGGGGCGGGGGGGATGTTATTGCTAAAAATACACGTACTATATTACTAGTCTCAGTAGTCGTTATCCCTATGCGGAGGCATATCACCATTACATTTTACCATCTCGGTACCATAGCAATTCTCTCTGTGTCTCTTTTCTCCCTTTGTGCATGTCCATTTTTGTTGATTTTTTGGTCTAGAACGGACGAAAAGGGTTTGAATTAACATTTTCTGCCAGGTTTGGGTAAATATTCATGATTTTGAGGCGGAAGGATAACAGAGTTATCAGGTTGGTTACGGTGATATGTACGGCGAATAGTTACATGCATGTTTTTAGTATGCTTCTTCAAGCTTGTGTATCTCAAAATTTTGGTGGTCAACCTCATACAAATTTTAGTGCAGATAAATGATCATTTGTTCCTCTGTCTGTAGTGAAAAGTATTCAGCCCAATGAAAATTTTGGAAAAAATTGGAGGTGGGCAAAGAGGCCAGAATTAACATTGATGTCAATAGGGAAATTAATGGTGGTCTGCGTCCTTGTAATGTTGCGGTTGTCTCCCTTAAATAAGGAAATAAGCACGATTGGGATTGCCGTGGAAAAGGTTAGATCTATTACATTAGGCCAACTTTAAGTTTGGACAAAGGTCACGAGATTTTAACTGGGCTAGCGTTAATCCCCTAACCCTGGACCAAGGCCTAATGCTTACCTTAACCCTAACATGCTATCTCGCCAACAATCACGTGCCCTATATAACCTTATTTACATCTCAGCGACCTTGATGAAATCTTGAGTTGGCCTTAAGAATTAGATCTAGCCGGGCGGAAGCAAGCGGGGTGGCGGCGCTGGGGAGCATAGATATATAATGCTTGATGAAGACTCCCTGAGAATGATCTGCATTCTCCAAGAATGATTTCTATCAGCTTTCAGTTATCCACAGAACTAATAAATGTAGATTGGCAACGACTTTGTGACGGAATAAAAATATTTTTTGTGTCAACTTGTACTGGGATAGTTATGATGAAAGCCACTGCCGAAACTCAGATTGTCTACGATATGACCTATGGTGGATCCAGACGTTAAACAACAACCTGCAAGCAAATCAGTGTAACTTAATAAACGCTAAACAGATCACATATGACATGTTTTTTTTAATAACATGCAGGGATTACAAAACTTATCAACAGTCTCAGAGACCACTTCTTATCTCCTTTCACTGTACATCACAACATATAGGAGCTTTTACTGGGGTTTCCCTTTTGACGTTATTTTCGGTCATCCGAAGTGACTGGTCGTTTTGCTGACAGAAACATATAGGCCATTATATGTTATTGAGTGAAAAATACTGAAACACCCTTGGCTCTCTTTTCGATGAAGGACAAAACTTTTATTGTATTGACAGATTTTCAAGCAATGGCGGAAATGTTGACCAGTGCGATTGTTTTGTTAGTAAGGAAAGGATTACCTATTCCCGAATTGTTAAGTCCATTATCAATGCTTATCTAATTTAGCAAATGAATTAGGCGGTTCGTCATAACCCTTTGTTAAATCTTATAAATACAGCGATAATCTTCTCAACAAGAAACAAAAGGTCACCTATTATTGTCTACTTACATCATTCACATCCATCAACTAACCTATCACGAGCCGGACTAGACATCACGTGTTAATTATTCTGACACACGATCATGACCTTCTGTGAAACGTTCTATTTCCGGTTTTGTAGGATTAGTGTTAGTTTTTGATTTTCAATTACAATCTAAACACTTTATATACGCAAGATATCATTATATGGTATACAATTGCTGTTTATTTCTGTCTTTATTAAACACTTGATACGATTTACATCATGATTGCCAATCAGAGACATCATAATTATTTGTTGAAAGTAGGGCCGTCAAGAGCCGCGATTTATTTTACTTTGTCAAATCGTCCTTGGACAGAGGCCAACAGCGATCAACAATATCAAAAGCTTATTTTTTAAAATTAGCATTGCTATAATTAATTACAAATTAGTGTTCATCATCTAATTTAGCATACAATTTTAATCAAATGAAATGGGGTCTTAATGTCCTACTTGTCTGTACCGACTGGGCCAATGATGACGTCATTCGTCAGTATAAATGTATGTACTGGTATAGTAGGTAAAATGAATATATTGAACGTTTACCTCACATCCGTCAAGGATATCACATAGACAAGTGTGCTAGAGACAACATAAAGTACTTCCAGTCTCTTTAAGTATATGTTTGAGAAGACGCCTTTATTGACAGTGAAGATGCTAAACAGATCATGACGTCAGTTACATTACAGGTGAGCAACGTGGTACATTATCCAATGACTTGAAACATATGGGGGCGGGGGGTTTTCAGACCCAAAGATATGCCTACCAGCAACAACATCGTCCATGATATACGTTGCTTTAAAGTTACTGTCAATTTGCTAAGCACGTTTTAAAACATCCCATGTTACAGTCTTAATGTCCTACTTGTCTGTACCGACTAGGCCAATGATGACGTCATTCGTCAGTATAAATGTATGTCCTGGTATAGTAGGTAAAATGAATATATTGAACGTTTACCTCACATCCGTCAAGGATATCACATAGACAAGTGTGCTAGAGACAACATAAAGTACTTCCAGTCTCTTTAAGTATATGTTTGAGAAGACGCCTTTATTGACAGTGAAGATGCTAAACAGATCATGACGTCAGTTACATTACAAGTGAGCAACGTGGTACATTATCCAATGACTTGAAACATATGGGGGCGGGGGGCTTTTCAGACCCAAAGATATGCCTACCAGCAACAACATCGTCCATGATATACGTTGCTTTAAAGTTACTGTCAATTTGCTAAGCACGTTTTAAAACATCCCATGTTACACTCAATTATGCACTCTGTTCATAAGGTTTCAATATCCTGGAACATTTTCCTGATATCGCGTTCACAATCTTTCAATAACGTATCAAGAACGTTTTCTTGATATCACGTTCACAATCTTTCAATAATCAAAATGTGAACGGAACGCGTTCGTAATTTACAATCCCACATTTTGGTATTCCAATAATATTTTATGGATTTGAACGTAGGCGACCCAGACCAGAATCTCCAGGAATTAAAAAAAAAACGGCAAGGACTCCACTACTATAGTGGCGCGTGAAAAGACGTTAAAAATAGAAACAAAAAGCCCAATATACTTAATGGTCCTTCGCTTGAAACTATGTTTGCATTAAAAATTGTATCGCTTAGTGAAAATATGAATGTCAACAAATGCACCGTTAAGAAAAAGTCGAAAAATTACCCAACAGAGGTACATCGGCCGACTCCTTTCGGGTCAATCAACCTTGATTGAGCATATCTGAGAAAGCACCACACAGGCAACATATAAAACCAATTTCGATTGTAATCCATTAAGCGGACAGGCGGCGGGGCCCTGGGGCCCGGCTGACAGTCTTACCTACCCCTACCTACCCAAACAAAGATCGTAACATTTATGGCCAAGCGGACCAGATTGCGCCCGCTCGCCACCCCTTTTCTACCCAAAAACTTTCTCCTCTCCTTTCGATGAGATTTTTAACATGGGCATTCCCTGCTAAGACACTATGTCTCAAATTAAACTGGACCAAGCCTAATCCATACGGCTTCCTCCAGTAAGTTTCTTAGGAAACATCTTTGTCTACGATATCACCTTAGGTGGAAGTGGACATAAAACCCCAGAAACGTACCTACCTACCTAATCCATTAAGTGGATTAGGATAGAGAGAGAAAGAGGTGGGGTTTTACGTCCACTCAATACAAACTAGGTCATTTCTGGACTAATATATGGTTTAATTTTTATTTCAATAATTCGCTTGCTCGTAGGGGTCTCTAGCAGTGGGAGGAAACCGGAGGACCCGGAGAAACCCCACGAGGTTCGACAGGCGACCCTACTCCTTGTCACGTACAACCTGGGATTCGAAACCACGCCAGTTGACTCAATGATAGGCCTTATTATACAGCGCGCACGTTCTAACCATTCGGTCACACCCCCCCCCCCCCCAAGTGGATTAGGACAATTAGTCCAAAACATATAAATATGACCCTTCAAGACCCCCCCCCTCCCCACACGCACACATATCTGGACAAGGGTCGCCCCAAGCAAAATGCCTACCAAATTTTGAT